CGACGTCATCCGCGGTACCAATGATCTTGATCTTCACGACCTGCCCAAGCAAACCACACGCCACTGTAAGAACACCCAGCCGTTTCGACAACATGGCATCGGGGCGGATCTCCAGCAACGACCTCAAGGACGCAGCCCATGAGTCCCATGATGGATTACTTCGGTGAGCCTCCAAGACGGCAGCGAGCAACCTCTGTGCGCGGTCTACGGCACCGACCCCGTCCTTCCCCTTCAAGGTAACCCCCTTCGCGTGCGTGCAAGCGTCGGCAATGCGAGCCAACACCAGGTCGAACTGCCCAACATCAATATCAGTGACGCTATGACCCTGCTCCCAGTCTGGCACAAGCAAGGCACACATGTCGAGGAGGTTTACGCGGCGGTCAACTGAGTCAACAAACTGAAGCACCACTGCAAGCCTTTGCTGAAGCTCTGTCACCTCGGCGTCCATGGGGAAAGCCACGCTCGCCTCGGCAGCCAAGGCGCCCACCTGGCTAAGCTCCTCCTTCGCAGGAAGTGGGCCCTGAGTCCAATCCATATCGCAAAACCACGTGACCTTCGCAACGACTGCGTGCTTCAAATCGCTACTCAAAGACTGTGTCTCGGAAGGCAACCCCTCGCACCACATCGCAAGATTCGAGCACATGTGACTCAAGTCATTCCAAGTACATTCGCCGTGACCCTTGCTCAAGAGGCACTTGGCGGCTAAGATGCTAGGAAACTGCTCCTTCGCAAAGGGCAATGTGCGCTGCAGCATCTCGAGCTGACTCTGGTAGAAGGGCGACGCCGACAATGAGGCTGCAATGGTATGGCTCAAAGTGTTGCCCGACTTCCCAACGTACTTGCAGAACCGCTCAAGCTCCTCCCCTATGTCCAGGATGGACGCGCCAGCAGCTGGCTGCGCCATATGGCGAACCACCTTTGCGGCGTCCACGAAGTCATTGGCAAACTTAACAACCATGCCAGACGACATGAGGTAGTCCACGCTTTCGAAGATAGAAATGCAAGTGATCAGGATCTGCCCGAGCGCCGCGGCAGATTCACGACCCTTGGAGACGGCATTGCAGATGTGCCCCCTGATAACGATCCTGAAGAATTCTGCGAGACGGTCTTTGTCGGGCAGGCTCGTGGAACCCAACGTAGGGTCCTGCGGGTCGAACTTCGAGTCGCCAAGCGGGCTTGCAACGCGAATGTACTCCGCCGCGTCGAGGCTGATGTCCAGGCTGGCGAGCTTCAGGGAGACCAGCTTCAGCATCGTCGCCTTGGGGAAGGTGTGGTCGCCGTCCTTCACGATCTTGTCGACCAGAAGTTTCGCAGCATCCCACGACGTCGATTGGAGATCCTCTGCTCGGAGGTCCTCGGCCGCCTTCACGAGCTCCTCGAATACTTGAAGGTCGTCCGCTTCCGACTTGGCATTGGGGTCCTTTGAAGACAAGAGCCTCTTGATCCTCTTCCGGAGCCCAGAGACTGTGCGTCCGTCGATCGTCCCTGCCATGACCTGGGAAAGGGGAATGCGGCCCTGCCAGACATTCACAGCATCGGTGCCACAAGCATCGGCGTCGTCAAACCCCGTCATTGAGCTGGCGGCATCGTTGAACGGATCTTCCAAGGAGCCCCCACTGCCGCTGGTTGCCTGCCCTGTAGATATGGGCTTGGACGGCGTCTTCAATTCCCCAGTCGGGGACCGCCTAGGCGCCGTGGGAGGTGGAAGCATGGCTGCTGCAGCAACTCCAATTAAAAGACCACCGTCAACATCATCCGCCGTCAAGTCCACTGGACGAACACCATCTTCCTCCGCCGACTCCTTGGCCTTGTCACTCCTCTCGCAATTTAAGAACTCTGCGTACGTCTGCAAGCTCTGCCCTTGCTTGCCGTCTAATTTGGCCGCGAGGGCGACCAAACCTTTGCCGTCCGCGAGCCCATCGAGTGACCTCATGAAGGCGTCCTGGCCCTGCGACTTGTAGACCTGCTTTGCGGCCTCCAGCACGTTCGTGGCAATCGTGATCTTCCTGGTAAGGCGTAGGAACCCAAGCTTACCACCACTGGCGGTGTCGCCTGACGGACCTGCTGAAGCAGACTCTCGGGGGTCGGGCGCCTTGAAGAAGTACACCGTATCCGCGTTGCCGCTCTCATCGGCAAGCTGCATCGAAGTCAAAGGCTTGATGGTCCGTTTCAGAAGACGGGAAGTATTGAGATCTTTCTTCAAATCGGTCTCAGAATGAATTTCAAGTGGCCTGCTAAAGTCGAAAGCGATCTCGGTGACGTCCTGGACTGCCGCAGTGTCGAACGTGGCGTGCCCGCTCTTCAACACGGCCGCCGCCTCGGTGATGCTCGCAACCATGTGGTCTTCGCCAGCCTTATACATGCCAATGGCGCCCTCCACGTCGCCGTCGCCGCTGACGGCCTGGGCGGCCAACCAGCAGTTTTTGCAAGCATCGCCGACTGGCAGCTTGCTCTTGTTGTCCTTCGCCGCCTTGTACAACGCCCACTCGGTGTCCTCGTCCTGGGGGCGGGGGGCAACTTGCTCCAAAAACGGACGGCCCCGCGAGGGCCCCTCGCCGACGTCAAAAAAACGCCCTGACCTTCGATGGCCCAGACTGGCACAATCCGCCGCCAAGAATTCCAGTGACAAGAATCAAAGAGAAGCCAAAATCCTCATCTCCTAATCCTTGCCCCCCGCCCTTCGCCCCGTCCATGCTGCCTCCCGCCCTCCCTGACCACCGCCGCCTCCTCCAATCCCAATCCCTCATCCCCCTTCGCACCTCCCCCCACCTTCACCCCTCCTCATCTTCCCTTGTTCCGTACTTCGGGCCCCGTGTCCTCAGCATGCGTGCCGCAGCAGAAGCACGCCAGGACACTCCCGCACTTCGGAGAACCAGGTGGCCCCTTCGCCTGCTTCTTGGCAGGTGAATCGGGCGGGCCCTTGCTGGAGAAGCGCTTGGACGGGGCGGCGGCCTTGGCGACGACTTGCGCCTTTCTTGGCCATTGCTGCAGGGTGCACGAGTGGAAGTACAACCTGCAAGCGCCTGGAGGAAGTTGCAGGGAAACACCTGATCGACCGCGAAGTCAAAGTCTCGAAGCCAAAACGGCTACGCCACGATGCGCGCCCCAACCGAAGTCGGCAGCCTTAGAAATGTCTCGGGCCTTCTTGGATCTCAGACTGCACGGGGCGCAACGGAACACGCCCTGACGCGGCCTTGCAGGGGCCCTCTTTGAGCCCTCTTGGGTTGTATTTTTTACCAGGGTTTACGGCCACGCCACGGGGCCCTCCTTGAGCCCTCGGCTGGTCCCAAAGGCCGCTGAAACCCCCACCCCTGATGGTTCTAACCCCAAGGATGCTTCAAGAGCGGGCCAGGAGGTCAATATAAAACCATGTGTTGTTGATGAGCTGCTGCCCCCCCCCCCCCCATCACAGGCGAACGCACAGGGACGACGCGGCGATTCACGTCTGTCGTACTGTAGAAGCAAGCAAAAAGAGAAACGACACGGCGATTCACACCGCTCGCGTTGTGGAAGCACGCACAGAGAAACGACACGGCGATTCACATCTCTCGCGTTCCGCAAGCACGCAAATGGAGAAACGCCACGGCGATTCACAACAGTCTGAGGGCCAAGGACGGTGAGGACGACAGGGGAACGCCCCTGGTGGCTCTCTTGGGCCCATCACAACGCCCCCCAGCGAGATCCTGCTCCTGCTGCTGCTGCTCCTCCTCGTCATCCATATCCTCCTTGCCTCTCTCGTCCTCCATCCTCTTCGCCCTTCTGTTCCTCATCCTCCTGGATCCCCGACCTCCTCCTCCTCCTTCCCCTCCTCCTCCTCCCCCTAAGCCCTCCTGACTCGGAGCCGAAGCGCCCCTGGAACGCCATTGGAAAGCTGCCCCTGGAAAGTGAAAGACAACGCTGGAAAGCGGCCCCTGGAAAGCGAAGGCCCCTCAGGTTCAGGCGCGGCCCCTGGAAAGCGAAGGATGACCAAGAGACCTGGGCGCGCTGAGACTAGCCCAGCCGACCTTCCCCCAAGCTGGCATTGGGGCAAGCAGTTACTTCAGAAAGTTACTTGTGAGCGCTGAGCTACTTCGGAGTTACTTCCAGAGCTATTTTTCGCAGGCTCACTGCCTCGGCAATGTCCCCAACGTCCCCGCCCCCTAAAACTAACAAAAAAGTAACGAAAACTAGCAAAACTGTAACCAAAAACTAACCTGGGACGCCCGGACCCGAATCTCAAAAACTAACCCAAACCTAACAAAAAGTAACTCAAAACTAACAAAATGTAGCGAAAAACTAGCTTTTTCCCAGTTCTGGGCGGCTGCGGGGGCTGGAGGGGGCAGGGCCAACCAGAAACTAACAAAAACTAACAACAACTAACACCAAACTAACTATTCCAGAAATCGGCCCCTGGGCCAAGGAATCGCAAAAAGTAACTCCAAAGTAAGTATCCTGAGCTACTCCCTGCAGGAGGGATGGAGGAGGATAGGTTTCGACTGTTTGCCTGGTGCACCCCACCTGCATCCAGCAAGTCAGAAGAGGCCAAGCAGGTCCTGCGGCTCAAGCCCCTCACCGCTCACGACATCCTGCTCCCGCTCCTTCGCGAACAGACCCTCGGCGTCGCCATGCAATGACACCAAATTCCTCTGGGCTTCTCGGACATCCAGCGAGGCCAACCTCTCCCTCAGGTAATCTGTGTCTTTGTGGGCGGCCCTGCTGTCAACCTCGTGCGACAGGCTGAGCCACGCTGCCATGAAGCCCACGGGTCGCCCTCCCCTGGGCACCCCATCAGGACCATCAAATTTCTTCTTGGGAGCGCGTCGCATGACACACCTCCCATGATCTGGATTCCCGCAGACCGCTTCGAAATTCGTGTACTGAGAATAGTAGCATAGCCTGCCCCCGTGAATCCTGACCGTCGCGTGAGCGGCCACGGCCTTCGCCTTGGGGCCAGCAAGCCCAGGTGGAGGAGGAGGAGGCTCGGCTGGGGCAGGAACTGGAGGGTCTGCCCCTCCGTCGGCGCCCGCTCCAGGAACCGCTGCAGCATCGTCATGTCCGTCATCACCGTGTCCGCCTAGGCCATGGTCGACGTCCACTGGCTCGAGCTCCTCCCCGTCGCTCTGCAGAAGCTCCATCACCAGATGGAGAACCCCACCGCCGCCAGCAACGTCCTCGCCATGACCCCCGCCGCCCTCTGCAGGGTCACCGTCGTCGTAGACGTCATCGATTGGCAACGCATCTTTCGCATCCTCCAATGCACCTCTGCCTTTGCCCCTGTCCACACCACGGCCGCGACCGCCTCTGCCTCGGCCAAGTGCCCCTGGCGGAGGCCACATGGCCTCAGCTTCTTCGCGCCCCCCTAGTGGAAGAAGAGGCACGATGGAGAAGTCAGTGGAAAGTATCGGCTCGGGCGTGGACTCGAGCTCGAACCATCGAACGGTCCACTCGGGCCTGTCGCTCAACACCTTCAGCGCTTTGAACGTCACGTGCCTCTGCCCGACGGTCTGCACGTATACGCGCCTGGGGTCCTCTGGGAGTTCTCCAGGGTCAGGCACGTGCCGAAGGACTTGAAAAGTAGGTGCGTAGGGGGACCAGTAGTGCAGGCCGATGTGCAACCATAGATCAACGGGGTCCATGCCGAGCGCGCCATCGCCATGGAAGTGCACGACCACCATGCCACGATCGACTAAGATTCGCTCTGGAGAGCCGTTCTTGGCTACAGCTTTCATGATGGTCAAGAACCGCGTCACCCGCTGAGCTAAGTGTCGACCAGCGCCCCTGCAGACGCAGAACTCTGCCCGCATGCAAACAGATTCAGACTGAGGTGGTGGCCGATCGTGAAGCTTTAGCCCCTGGGAGTCCAACAAGGTGCTGCATGTACTGGTCCACTGTGCCTCAAGCGCCTCGCAAAGTGACGTTGCTTTCCAGTGCACGTTCGCCCATCCAAGAGTGCTGCCGACCATCTCGCACATGTCAACCGACGGCTCGAAGCACGCCACCTTGCCAGATAAAAGGTACCGAGGCCCAGTGGCTCGCTAGCCCACCATACTGCCCACCCGCTGCAGCAAACTCGTCAACTGCACGCGCACCCAGTTCATCTGAATACCTTTTCAAGTCCGCAACTTCGGCAGCTCTCACTTTTGCCTCATATTGCGAAGCCTTGATCTTCATCTCACGGAGCGCAGCTGCCGCTTGCGACGGATCACCAGCTGAAGCCAAAGTCTGGATCATGCCTGTCGTCGCCGATGGCTGGGCGTCTACAATCTGGCGTCCATCGTGGGCCCTGCGATCCCGACGTCGTGCAACCTTTGCTTTTGAAATAGAAGGCCCAAAAGATGATCCACGTGTACCATGCTTGTGTGATATCGTCGCAGACTTCCCAACAACTGCAAACTGTGCCCGATCTTCTGCGCTGAGCTGTTGGTACCTCTCATGGGCAATTGCCATCGTAGTAAACTTGCCGTACTTATGGAAATGATGTCGTATAAACGCCCTGCACGCACCACCACCTCCACGCCGCCGCTTCACGACAGGTTTCTTCCTGGCCCTCCTGCAACCCGACTTGGGATTGCCCCAAGGCCTGGATGTCATACGCCGTCTCCTCGCGTGCATGCATACCCATTCGGCGTTGAGGTCTGCAAAATCCATCAAGTGAGTCTGAACCGACCTACCAACTAAGAACCTGCGAACTGATGCAAAGAAATTTTCTGCACGGCTGTTATCCTTGCGCCATTTGTAAGCCACTGAAATCAATTTCGCCAAGCACTCCTCGTCGTCCAACGTCGGGTGATCATCGATCATCTTCTGCGACCACTCGGTGAGCAAGCACTTATCGGCCTTGGCAATCTCTGGGCCCAGCGCGGGATCATCGAGCACTCGAAACATGCGGGTTGGAAAACTCCTGCGCTCGTGCCCTATCTTGTACTCAACGGCGCAAGCCACGCGCCCCAACAAAGCAAACGCCAACGCACGAAATTCAACTGTACGGCAGTCGTCTGGCAGAACGTCGAAAAATATTGGATTGCTATTAAGTGCGTTGAGCTTGACCTCGCACTCTCTCTCAAGATCACCGCGAGCGATGGTCTGGACTGGGAACTCCCTGATCATCATGTCCCTACTTCCCCTCAACAACGCCCTCGCGGCTTTCGCCTGCTCCTTCTGCTCCCACTGCATAGAATGAATGTGGAAGTTCTTGGTGGCAACCACGCACAAACGCTGCGCCGCGGACCGCGCGAGGACCTGCAAGCCAAGTGGGAACTTCTCAGTCCAACAACACGCCTTCTGTCTGCGACTTGCGTTCTCCTGAGCCTTGGAGCCACCGTCAGCGTCGTCATCTTCGCGAGGCCCTCCTCCCAGAGCAGCTGGGCCAGCGTCGCAGAGGGGCAACGCGTCCACGGGCACCTGCGGGCGCGCTGGAGTGACCTCGCGCACGTTGGCAGCCAGCCCACCTCGCGACTTCACCTTCGGGATCTGCTGGCCTCTCACTTCCAGCATTTTCTTGTAGGCGTGGCCGTAAACGTT